CGACAGCGCAACAAAGAGCAACAATTAAAAAAGCATGATGGCCGACAGCGCAACAAAGAGCAACAATTAAAAAAGCATGATGGCCGACAGCGCAACAAAGAGCAACAATTAAAAAAGCATGATGGCCGACAGCGCAACAAAGAGCAACAATTAAAAAAGCATGATGGCCGACAGCGCAACAAAGAGCAACAATTAAAAAAGCATGATGGCCGACAGCGCAACAAAGAGCAACAATTAAAAAAGCATGATGGCCGACAGCGCAACAAAGAGCAACAATTAAAAAAGCATGATGGCCGACAGCGCAACAAAGAGCAACAATTAAAAAAGCATGATGGCCGACAGCGCAACAAAGAGCAACAATTAAAAAAGCATGATGGCCGACAGCGCAACAAAGAGCAACAATTAAAAAAGCATGATGGCCGACAGCGCAACAAAGAGCAACAATTAAAAAAGCATGATGGCCGACAGCGCAACAAAGAGCAACAATTAAAAAAGCATGATGGCCGACAGCGCAACAAAGAGCAACAATTAAAAAAGCATGATGGCCGACAGCGCAACAAAGAGCAACAATTAAAAAAGCATGATGGCCGACAGCGCAACAAAGAGCAACAATTAAAAAAGCATGATGGCCGACAGCGCAACAAAGAGCAACAATTAAAAAAGCATGATGGCCGACAGCGCAACAAAGAGCAACAATTAAAAAAGCATGATGGCCGACAGCGCAACAAAGAGCAACAATTAAAAAAGCATGATGGCCGACAGCGCAACAAAGAGCAACAATTAAAAAAGCATGATGGCCGACAGCGCAACAAAGAGCAACAATTAAAAAAGCATGATGGCCGACAGCGCAACAAAGAGCAACAATTAAAAAAGCATGATGGCCGACAGCGCAACAAAGAGCAACAATTAAAAAAGCATGATGGCCGACAGCGCAACAAAGAGCAACAATTAAAAAAGCATGATGGCCGACAGCGCAACAAAGAGCAACAATTAAAAAAGCATGATGGCCGACAGCGCAACAAAGAGCAACAATTAAAAAAGCATGATGGCCNTAATTTTGCTTGGGACATCATACTTTTTACTCGAAAAAGTTATTTTCATCGATTATGAAAAAGGAAAGGAGAGGCTGAAAGGATGGAAAGCGCGCGCTACTCTTGCGGCAAATTAATGCCCTATAGCTGACCTTCAAGTACCATCAATACGAAAAAAATTACAAATCCGAGTACCTCTTCTCGCTAGTTAAGATCTGTTCCATTGTAAACCGCAAAAAAATGTTAGACAAATTAAAAAGATATAGTAAAAGAAGACAAAACACTATCTAAGAGTCTCAGTCTCCCTGTACTTGTGGGTGTACCAGGGTACAAATTTGGGCTCATATATTTCTAATATTTATAAATAATCTAGGTACTCAATACAATTCCCAGCATAATTTCCTTTGCGGACGACACTGCAGTTATGTGAAGGTGGAAACATGGAAACAAGTAGACAATAGAATAAACATAGAGTGTAACTGAAATAATTGCGGAGTTTGCAGGAGGTAATAGAATACTGTAAAACAAGAAAATTAAGTAAATGTTTGCAGGTCGAAACACAACACCCCTCCGCATTCAATAATTTCCAGTAAGTCACTGATGGACACTTGTACCAGTGTTCACAACCTGAAGCGAGGAAACTATCGTACCTGTAGCGTAGAATTATCGTACATGGAGCAAAATTATCGTACTTTTCAAAATAATCACTATAATTAGTAAATTACTCGTATTAATCGTGTAAAAAGACAGACCTGAACTACCCCCACCCTTTAAATTAAAAATCAATAATAGATAGAAAAATACTTAAATATAACAAGATATAGGGGGTGGAGGTATGTTAGTGGGGTGTTTTTGACCTTAGGCTATGGTTAGTGACTACATGACTACAATCACAAAATTGTGGATGGGAAGACCATCGACCCATCTGATGACCAACACGAAGGGATGTTACCTGCCGAGAAAAAACTTACATACTAGCATGATAAGGTTCTTTTGTTGCAGGCACGTTCTTCTAAATTTAACACTGCGAATAACAAAAATGTTTATAGCGCTGTGAGCAAAAAGCAGCAAAAAGAAAAAAAATATTCCACTATAATAAAAAAATCTTCGTGATATTGTCTGAGAGGGTAAGAATAACATAAATTTTGAATGCATGAAAATTATCGTACAAACTGCGTACGATAATAATATGATATCGTACATCGTACGTAGACATGAAATTATCGTATGTGTACGATAATTATCGTACGGTTCCGAACACTGAAATGTACAAAAGTCTCTGCAGCCTCCTTAGGGCCATAAAACCCAGATCTGGCCTAAAAGTGACCTCGACAATACGAATACATGTTTCTACAAAACTAAACTCATCGTTGATTAACTTAAATTAAATTACAACATTTACGAATATATTGCAACACTGTTCTACTCAGGGGTTTAGTGAGTAAATCTGCTAACATGAGCCTAGTATCACAATATTCGTACTGCGTGATTTCCCTTTCAATTAATTCTTTAATATAATGGTACATAGTATCTATATGCTTGGACCTATTGCTAAATTTACTATTACGCACAAGACTTAAACAACTTTGATTGTCCTCAAAATTTAATGTCGGCTGTTTCTGTTCATATCCAAAATTCTTTAGCAATTGGCGAATCCACACGGCTTCCTGTGAAGCTTCTGATAACGCGATATACTCCGCTTCTGTGGATGATAAGGAAACGCATGACTGTTTTCTGCATGACCAACTGATGACACCTCCATTATATTTAAAAGTCTGACCACTGTTAGATTTTCTGTCTTCTTTGTTTTGTGCCCAGTCTGCATCTGCAAAGCCATAAAGCGAATCCTTCTCTTTAGGGTCTCCCAATTTTAAGAACAACAATTTCGTTCCTTTGAGATACCTTAATACTATCTTTACTTCAAGCCAATCAGCTTGTGTTGGGCTTTTGTTGGACTGACTTAGAATAGTCACACTTGCTGCGATATCTGGTCGAGTATTTACAGCTATGTATAGTAAGGCTCCAATTAATTGCTGATAATTGGTACTATTGCTCATTGATGGTTCATTGTCTTTTCTTGTAATAAAACTGGGATCTAGTGGTATATCCGAAAATTTTGCATCTTGTAAACCAAAACGGGTCAATAATTCATCAATTGCCCAAATCTGTTAAGTGAAAGTATTTGTTCAATTGCTTTGCGATTTCTTTCACTCGGTCTTTATTCGCATTGGCTATAATTAGATCATCAACATAAACGATTAAATAAACAAATTGTTTGTCTATTTCTTTTATATAAAGACACGGATCAGCGATGCTTTTCATAAATCCGTAGGATTCAATCCTTTCGCTCAGCTGATCGTTCCAGTTCTTCGCGGCTTGTTTCAGCCCATATATACTTTTTTGAAGTTTACACACTAAGTGTTCTTCTCCATCTTTCACGTACCCTTCTGGCTGCACCATATAAATGTCTTCATTTAAAACACCGTTGAGAAAAGCAGTCTTTGCATCGTAATGATAACAATTTAATTTTTCTTTCCCAGCTATAGTTAACTACACGCGAAATGTCGTATGACGCACTACCGGAGCAAAAACCTCGTTGTAGTCAACACCATATTTTTGCGAAAAACCGCGAGCTACTAGTCTAGCTTTGTACTTTTACACGTCTTCACTCGCGTCACGTTTGGTTTTAAAAACCCACTTGCAACCCACGATGTTGCACCCCTTAGGTGCTCGCATGAGTTTCCACATCTCATTCTCGATTAATGAAGTCATTTCTGATTCGATCGCGTTTTTCCACTGTTCACCATCCTCTGGCGATAGCGCTTCCTTAATGTTTTTTAGATCTTCACCGGAAACCATATTTAATGTACCCATGTACCGATCTGGAGGCACACCCTTATTGTCTCTTTCAGATCTTCGCGGTACCGTTTCATTGATTGCACCGTCCGTTTCACTGTCTTCCGTAGAACTGCTGTCATTTGGTGATGCCGAATAGTACTGATCGCTTTCAGTACCATTGTTCTCAACGTCACATTCGTTTTTATTTTCACTATGCATGAAGACCTCTTGTAAACTCCTATCGACAGTATCCTTATTTTTATCACTCGCGGTACAGTCCTTAAATACAACATCTCTGCTTACTTTTACTTTTACTTTACCTAACAATAGCCTTTTGATTCACTTGAGTATCCCACAAAAATGAGAGACTCAGCCTTTGAATCCAGTTTCCTTCTTTTTTCTTTAGGTATATGAATTAGTACCTTCGAACCAAATATATGAAGGTCTGCAATATCCGGCTTTTCTGAAAACCATAATTCATATGGCGTACCCTTGATGCTATAACAACTATTTTTGCTGTTGTAAGTTTTAATAAACGGTACTATCTTTGGTTGAAAGCTTCGGTTATGTGTTTATTAATTTTATCACTGACTAATTTATTGAAGGCATTTTGGTAATTGAAAAGAGTGTATACAATTTTTAATGTTTCGGGAACTTTATCAAAAGGTTTAGATAATGTTATAATTAAGCGTTGGAGCCCTACGTTATTTAATAAAGTTTGTAAATGAACATTCAATATTTAGCCCAATTTATTATTGGTTAGTCTAGTTGATGTATACATACTGGGGTTAAAATGTATTTAGAACGAATTATTAATTAGTCTTTTCTTTTTTATAATAAAGGAGCATGTACAGGAATTGTTTGTTGCTGAATTGGGAAAAGTATTTTGTATATTTAAACATTTTTATTAAACCATTTTGCACATCTCTGCTAATATACCTAATGATGTATTTGATAGAATGCGAATGTTCAGCGTAAGAAAGCCAAACGTATTTGGTATTGCCTAGGGTTTATACAAAAACCGACATTTTAGAAAACCGGTTTTCGAATAGTAATTTTTCCAGAAAACCGGTTTCGAATTTTTATAAAAAAATTTATTGCTCGAATATTNGAGGGATGATGAACTAGAAGATACGATGGATAATTGGGATGAAGAAAAACTTAAAGAAGTAATAGAAAGAAAACATGGTCAAAGTAACAAGACAATGCCTCATACTGAAATTGTATGTAGTGTTTTTACTTACAGTGAATTACCGAATTGATTTTTTAAATAAAACTTAATTTTAGATTTGTAAACATTTTCTAGAAGCTGTCGAAAAGTCAAAATATGGTTGGTTTTGGCAATGTCCTTCAGGAGAGAAATGTATTTACAGGCATGCTTTACCACCTGGTTTTGTACTTCAAAAAGATAAAAAGAAAGATGCCAAGAAAAATGAAATTTCTATTGAAGACTTAATTGAAAGAGAAAGGGCTGCTTTGGGACCTAAACAAACCAAAGTAACTTTAGAAACATTTTTAGCTTGGAAGAGGAGAAAAATTGAGGTGATAAGAACATATTTTATTCCCATGTGTAGTGTAAACTAATTGTATTTCAACTTTTAGGAAAAAATTGACAATGCCAAAAAAGAAGAAGAGAAAAAACGAAGTGATTATAAAGCAGGCAGACAAGTTGGTCTTTCTGGTAGAGAAATGTTCAGTTTTAATCCTGCCCTTGCTGCTGAGCAAGATATGGAGGAAGGGGATGAGGCATTCGATTCATATGCTGTAGAAGACGAAGATGAAGGCATAGAATATAAAGAATTAGTTTTAGACAACCTTGCATTAGAAGCACAAGAAGTATGCTGTTGACAAGACAGAAAGATACTTAATTTTGTTACATAATTTTTTATTTATTTAGGCTGATGATACAGGGACATTGGCTCTAGAGGGGAGATTAAAAAATAATAATTTGGGGCATTCTGAAAAAGAGAATGGAATATCTGAAGGATCCCAAGATGATAATATCACTAATGTACCAATTAATGAAAATTTGTTTGCAGATGAGGATTTAGATGGTCTTGATGAAGAATTAAATGACTTGGATATTGATAAATGATATTAAAAGGTGGACTACATCTACATAAACAGCTGATATAATGTAGAACATCAATAAAAATGTTTTAGATAAGCTGTAAAACATAAATTATGTCTGTAATTTTTATCAATAAGAATTAATCGTTTACATACTTCTTTTGTTTGCATTGGAATAGTGTGGTTTGATGAAAATTAACGATTATTTATTTTGTCTTTAGTGTCACTCAAAATATAAACACATTACAGTAAATTTATGTACAATTAACTGATTGAAGAATATTAATAAACAATTTTAATTTACATACGTATCTACATATGGTGTGGACTTAAGAATAATACTTAACACTACTCTTACAACTAGAACAACTGTAATACAAATAAATGGAATTGGAAAATAAGGATATATTCGTACATATTTTTCAACATTATTCCTCTTATCATATAATGCAATTAATAATATGTTATCTAATATAAATATAGCTTCTTTCTCGTTTCGTTGAGTACAGACTTAGACATTTGCACTTTTCATTTTGGTACCCTCACGACTATATGTATATATTTAACAGATGATGCTCGTGAAAAGCTCGTCTCAAGGAATTTAAACTTTTTCAGTAACTGAAGTAAATAATTTATTTACTAAATTAGCCTTTTTTAGATAGATTATATTGTTTGTATGGAAATTCGCGGTATAATATTTAAATATACTTCTCAATGCAATCCTACAAGTGGTGCCATCTGTAGTATAAAGCTGCATTTAGTGGAATTTATTGTACTCAACAAGCTTCTCAAGCTTACTTGCAGATGGCAGCATATGCTACTCAATTTGCAAAAATATTGATGCTATTTTTAAGTTCTCCTAACAGATGGCGATTACTCCTCCGTTTTTAAACAAAAACGGAAAATTATAATTAATTACTGTGTTATTTGAAATCAACGCTAAGATAACAACCCTATTTTAAGAAGGAACACCGTATATATTAATGCCTTTTTATTTTAAATTTAAATAATGTACTTAAGGGCAGTATAAATGAATGTATATTATTAACCCCGAACTTTTACTTGCACACAGAGTGCATTAAAAAATAAAATCAGGGAAATACCTAAATGTAACTTTTCTAATAGTACAGGAAAATGCATGAAGATGGTGCAGCATGCACGTTGAGAACGTTAGCGGTTGTGACGCCCGTAAGCGTCGCGGCGCCACAACTTTCCAATCAAATCAAAACACCAGTTGTATTTCGACTACCTGTATTGGAAGGGATCCGGTTATTATTGTCGCGTTTTTGTTCCCGTCTATTTACTGAACATATTTTTTAACAAGTGCTGTTCCCTTTCTGAAATTTAATGATCGATTATTGTGATTATAACACGACCCTGGCGCCTTTATCATATCATCTTATCAAAAAAGTTTTACGAAGAAAATAGTACTGTAGGAAACAATGGTTTGTTATCCAATGGTAAGGCTTTTTAGTATCTAGCAAAATTAAATAAAGGTAAAAAAATTAATTTATGGCCATGTGGTTACTTCGTGAATTGGCGGTTTTGTCTTTTTTTAATAATGATCATGCAGTATAATTGCTTTATTTATGAAGCTAACAGGTGATGCTTATTTTAATTTAATAATTTATACTTTACAATTAAAATAAATTAATTAAAGGATAATTTGTATTGAGACAAGAAATTCATAAAAACTAGAATAGCATCAATGAAAAGGCGAAAATTTATACTTACCAGTAGTGCATGCTTGGTTATTTGTTATAAATTCTCAGCCAAAGTTGATATGTTCATAAATCATGTAAGTACCCATTAAAGTGGTAAAATAATGTTTGAAAAAATTATACGGTGGAAAATAAATATGTTTGAAGCATTTAACGACACTTAATGACTATGATATACGATCAGTTTATTAGATTTTTGCGTTTAGAAGACAATAAAACCAGATAAGAATTGCGTAAAAAATATTTAATGAAAAACAAAAACCAAAACAAGCATTTCACTACCTACTACGAAATGAAATGGTAGTTATTTTGTTACGGTGCAAACTGGCAACAAGGACAAATATTATTCAGATCCAAAAATAATAATGTGAACTTCGCTAGGTATTTTTAAACAATTTTACGAGTGTTTCGGCTACATTTTCAATTATTACGTCCACTCATTTTCGAGATGCGTTTAAATTTATAGCCGGATAATGTTCCTATAAATAATTAAGACTGACGAGAAGCCACATAAAGACCTCTTTGTTGTATACGTAAAATCGATTTTTATTACTTAATTATTAAGGACATTCACACAAATTCGAATATTTCTTTACGGAATTATTAACGTGCCGTTAAAACGTCAATAAATACAACTACTGTATTTATACGTAAATTGTATAAGTCGTAGTTTTGTATCTTTGGCTTCTCGGCTTGAGCTTTCCCCAAAAATATACCGAAATGTACCGAAAATAATAAACCCATATATAATATAAACATGGATATTTTCAATTATAAATAACGCTCTTATTTTATGTGAAAGCAATCTTATTCCATTCTTTGAAATATTCTAAGACACATTATGACTCAATTAATATGACCAATTAAATCATAATTTGCTTGTTGGGATAAAAACAAGCGAATAGCAGCTACCAATGGCTAACGACAGTATCAATTAAAAAAGCATGATGGCCGACAGCGCAACAAAGAGCAACAATTAAAAAAGCATGATGGCCGACAGCACAACAAAGAACAACAATTGGAAAAGCATGATGGCCGACAGCGCAACAAAGAGCAACAATTAAAAAAGCATGATGGCCGACAGCGCAACAAAGAGCAACAATTAAAAAAGCATGATGGCCGACAGCGCAACAAAGAGCAACAATTAAAAAAGCATGATGGCCGACAGCGCAACAAAGAGCAACAATTAAAAAAGCATGATGGCCGACAGCGCAACAAAGAGCAACAATTAAAAAAGCATGATGGCCGACAGCGCAACAAAGAGCAACAATTAAAAAAGCATGATGGCCGACAGCGCAACAAAGAGCAACAATTAAAAAAGCATGATGGCCGACAGCGCAACAAAGAGCAACAATTAAAAAAGCATGATGGCCGACAGCGCAACAAAGAGCAACAATTAAAAAAGCATGATGGCCGACAGCGCAACAAAGAGCAACAATTAAAAAAGCATGATGGCCGACAGCGCAACAAAGAGCAACAATTAAAAAAGCATGATGGCCGACAGCGCAACAAAGAGCAACAATTAAAAAAGCATGATGGCCGACAGCGCAACAAAGAGCAACAATTAAAAAAGCATGATGGCCGACAGCGCAACAAAGAGCAACAATTAAAAAAGCATGATGGCCGACAGCGCAACAAAGAGCAACAATTAAAAAAGCATGATGGCCGACAGCGCAACAAAGAGCAACAATTAAAAAAGCATGATGGCCGACAGCGCAACAAAGAGCAACAATTAAAAAAGCATGATGGCCGACAGCGCAACAAAGAGCAACAATTAAAAAAGCATGATGGCCGACAGCGCAACAAAGAGCAACAATTAAAAAAGCATGATGGCCGACAGCGCAACAAAGAGCAACAATTAAAAAAGCATGATGGCCGACAGCGCAACAAAGAGCAACAATTAAAAAAGCATGATGGCCGACAGCGCAACAAAGAGCAACAATTAAAAAAGCATGATGGCCGACAGCGCAACAAAGAGCAACAATTAAAAAAGCATGATGGCCGACAGCGCAACAAAGAGCAACAATTAAAAAAGCATGATGGCCGACAGCGCAACAAAGAGCAACAATTAAAAAAGCATGATGGCCGACAGCGCAACAAAGAGCAACAATTAAAAAAGCATGATGGCCGACAGCGCAACAAAGAGCAACAATTAAAAAAGCATGATGGCCGACAGCGCAACAAAGAGCAACAATTAAAAAAGCATGATGGCCGACAGCGCAACAAAGAGCAACAATTAAAAAAGCATGATGGCCGACAGCGCAACAAAGAGCAACAATTAAAAAAGCATGATGGCCGACAGCGCAACAAAGAGCAACAATTAAAAAAGCATGATGGCCGACAGCGCAACAAAGAGCAACAATTAAAAAAGCATGATGGCCGACAGCGCAACAAAGAGCAACAATTAAAAAAGCATGATGGCCGACAGCGCAACAAAGAGCAACAATTAAAAAAGCATGATGGCCGACAGCGCAACAAAGAGCAACAATTAAAAAAGCATGATGGCCGACAGCGCAACAAAGAGCAACAATTAAAAAAGCATGATGGCCGACAGCGCAACAAAGAGCAACAATTAAAAAAGCATGATGGCCGACAGCGCAACAAAGAGCAACAATTAAAAAAGCATGATGGCCGACAGCGCAACAAAGAGCAACAATTAAAAAAGCATGATGGCCGACAGCGCAACAAAGAGCAACAATTAAAAAAGCATGATGGCCGACAGCGCAACAAAGAGCAACAATTAAAAAAGCATGATGGCCGACAGCGCAACAAAGAGCAACAATTAAAAAAGCATGATGGCCGACAGCGCAACAAAGAGCAACAATTAAAAAAGCATGATGGCCGACAGCGCAACAAAGAGCAACAATTAAAAAAGCATGATGGCCGACAGCGCAACAAAGAGCAACAATTAAAAAAGCATGATGGCCGACAGCGCAACAAAGAGCAACAATTAAAAAAGCATGATGGCCGACAGCGCAACAAAGAGCAACAATTAAAAAAGCATGATGGCCGACAGCGCAACAAAGAGCAACAATTAAAAAAGCATGATGGCCGACAGCGCAACAAAGAGCAACAATTAAAAAAGCATGATGGCCGACAGCGCAACAAAGAGCAACAATTAAAAAAGCATGATGGCCGACAGCGCAACAAAGAGCAACAATTAAAAAAGCATGATGGCCGACAGCGCAACAAAGAGCAACAATTAAAAAAGCATGATGGCCGACAGCGCAACAAAGAGCAACAATTAAAAAAGCATGATGGCCGACAGCGCAACAAAGAGCAACAATTAAAAAAGCATGATGGCCGACAGCGCAACAAAGAGCAACAATTAAAAAAGCATGATGGCCGACAGCGCAACAAAGAGCAACAATTAAAAAAGCATGATGGCCGACAGCGCAACAAAGAGCAACAATTAAAAAAGCATGATGGCCGAC